CCTCAATAAATCCAGAATAATCTTCCTATTTTTCAGGTTACCTCATTAGCAATCTTAATTTCCATTTGTTAAGTAATCTATTGTTGGCTTAAGGTGCAAATGCTAAGCCTATGAATGACATCCTAAATGAACTCTACTCCCTAATGTTTTCATGGACTAGAACCCATGTTGAAAATATCTCAGGCACCAAGGACTACAACTCCCAGCATGCCATCAATCTGACTTTCTGAAGGGGGGGGTGAGGGGTGGGGGGGTGCAGGGAACTAGGGGTGGAATAAAGCACTATGCTTGCCATATAAGTGAACACCTGTGGGCTTGGCCCTTCTAGTTTTGACTTCCACCCAGAAGTTGAAAGAGATACAAGGAGAGACATGTAGAGACACTTAGAAGAGATATATTGGTGAGAGACATGAGGAGGCTGCTCCTAGTTCTTTGCAGAGACAAATGATGTGATAGCTCATTCTGCCCCAAATCTCTGGGACCCATGTTGTGGTCCTAACTCCTTTCTTGGGTCCCTGCCAACGTACCTTAGACTTGTGAGAAGCTTTCAGACCTCAGCAGACCCATTTTAGGCTAAGCCAGTTTTACTAGGTATTTGCCCATGAAAGGTATTAGTAATTTTATTGCTGTTGTGTGAGCAGATGACTGGATCCCTTTCAGAAAGTACAGCCCTTAGTTTGGGGCCCTCAGGTACCCTTCAGTCATATGCTAAACTAACATATTCACATGTTCTGGTGATTAGGAAGTGGACACCTTTGGGAAGCCATTATTCTGCCTATTACAGCTTTATTTCCAGTTACTTCAGCACTTGTATACTAATAACACTCTAATCAAACTAAACAATTAACCATTTCTAAAACTTTTCTTAAATAGACAGCCCTTTACCTTTTCAATGATACAGTAGGAGGCTACAGCATATGAAGATTGGAGACTGCAGGTTAAAGTTCTGAATATCTCATTTTGTAGCTTTATAGATCAATCACTTAACAATTCTAAGACTAACAATTCTAAGACTTGACTGTTTAAATGTAAAATGAGAATATCTGTTTGGCTCATTTTACAGGGCTGTTGAAAGGATCAAATGTGTAATTGGGAACAAACAAATTGTGAAATACTTTTAAAAAGTAAGATTATTAAAAACTATTGGTTCAAAATAAAGTTCAATGTAAACATACATTTCCATGTAATAATCTATCAACCTCCACTGCATCTATCTTTTAAGTACAGAATTTTTACCCTTTGTGTGTATATCTCCTTTCCCATTCCTGACTGGAAGAAGCTTCAGGCAACAGCCACATCTGATTTTATCTTGCATGTCACATAGTATATAATCACAATATTTTGTACAACCAGGTGTTCATTAAATACTAGTTTAAGGAATGATTTAAAATTAATCTCCAAAGGGCAGCAATGCAGACACACTTAGATAATTGTAGAGCAGGTGCTAAATGACTATTACTGCAAAATACAACTCTCTACACAGAAAATGGATGTTTTAAATAAAACCCCAGACCTTAGAGGTGAGTAAAATTTAATATAGTCTTGAGACTAAGTTTCTGAGGTCTGGTGGCTGCATAATAGAATCATTTGAGGAGACTGACACCATAAATTGGAATCTCTGAGGCTGAAGCCCAGGTATTTGTTTAATGCTGCCAAGACTAAGAAGTAACAAGTACTACTCTAGCTTCTGCTGTCAAAGCTCCCACTTCACTCTGGTGGGGAGGCCATATGCACACAAAAAAGAGGCTCAACATCACTAAACTTCAGGGAAATCAAAATCAAAATGACAATGATGTGGTGAAAAAGGAACCTTTGTGCACTGCTGGTGGGAAAGTAGATTGGTGCAGCCACTATGGAAAATATTCTGAAGTTCCTTTAGAAATTAAATACACAACTGTCATATGATCCAGCAATCCCACAACTAGATACTATCTAAAGGAAATGTAAACAGGATATGAAAGTGATACCTACACTTCCATTTTACTGTAGCATCATTCTTAATAGCCAAGATGTGGAAATAACCTAAGTGGGGAGTGGCTGAGTGAATAAAAATTATGTAGTATATATACAATATAATGTTATTTAGTCATGAGAAAGACGGAAATCCTGCCATTTGAAACATGATAGACCTTGTGGATAATGTGCTCAGTGAAAAATGCTAGACAGAAAAAGCCAAATACTGCATGGTAGCACTTATAGGTGAACTCTAAACAAAAAGTGAAATCCATAGAAACAAAATTATCACATAAGATATATAATTTTATACACATTATGTAATATTAAGTGAAAATGTAGAACACTGTATGCTTAATATGATACCAATTAGCTTTTTCTTTCTTTAATGTATTATATATTTGCACAGAGAAGATCAGGAAGAGGGAACCAAAATACCAACCGTCCTCCTTGGACAACGGATTGCATAAATTTTAATTTTTCTGAATTTTATAAAATTTCCATAACCTAACACGTTTCTTTTTTTTTTTCCCGAGTTAAATACTTGGGGCCTCCCCTGGTGGCGCAGCAGTTGAGCGCTGGGCTGCGAAGCTGCCCGCAGCCTGTGCAGCATCGGTTTGATCCCCGGCCGCTGCTGGAGAGGGTCCCACATGGTGCACAGACCTCTCCTGCCGCGCCCGCTGCTCCCCTCAGCAGTGTATTTTGTCAGTCTGCCTGTTCTGTTCCCTGCTCTGGCTCTGCTGAATTCTCTCACCCTCCCGCACTTCTGACTGTACCCAGTCCTTGTATAAATAAATAAATCTTTTAAAAAAAAAAAGTTAAATACTTTTTAGTTGGACACATATGAAGTCACAGCATTTGAGGGAGAGATATTAACATTTATTTCTTACCTAACATATTGTCAAAGGCAGATTCACATTTTGTGGGGTCAGGAGCGTATACATATTGATAAGTTGGGTGGGTGCTTTATTAAGGAAAGCACAAATTAACTCACAATTTCTAGGGCTGCTGCAAGGGCCTAGAAAGGGGCCATCCAATTAGGTGAGTTAAACTTCTTGAGTTTCATAAATTTGCTTCTAAACTAGTGGCAGACATTATGTGGAACAAATAAATAACCTCATCTAATCATAATAAAAATTCTGTAGAGATTGAAAACAAAGAAATAAATCACTGTTCATGCATTGAGAACTGAGAATTATAGGAATTAAAAAAGTCATCCAAGCCCAAACACAATGAAGTGGCAGTCTTAACTCCTAAACCAGTTTTAATCAAACTGCTCCACCTCCAGGACTCATGGGCATTCCCTACACATGGTTAGATCTACTAGTGTTATCTCCCAGACTTGCTTATACTTCTTCAGGTTCTCATGCCTCATTAAAAGTTAACTTGTTCAATTATTATCATCCTGATGACCATAAGAGAACCTGGCCCTACAGTAATAGATGCTCAATAAGCATTTATTAAATGAACACATTTTTTTATAATCAGAGTAAATAAAGACAAGAAAACTCAGTTTTGAAAATGTCTATTTGGAATCCACAATCCACTTTCTTTACCCCCAAATTTTTTATAACTGAGTTATTTCTGATTTCTCTATGCGATATTCAGGATACAATTTCTTTAAATACAGAAGACAATTTTATGTTAATTTAAATAACAAAGAGAAACAGTCTGGGGTTGTTTTATAGAGATGTGACAAATACAAGGTAATGCCAGATAGTGGGCATAGTAGAAAAACAGAATGACTCAAAAATGGTTATGTGGAATTAATTCTGCTTAACTGTCCTTATATGAAGTTCAATATGTTAAATATATTAGGTTAAACATGCCCTGGTATTACTCTAGTGAATATGCTACACTATGTGATAAAAAGGATGTGGCAGAGGGCCTCACCGGTGGTCCAGGCAGTTGAGCGCACTGCTGTGAAATTGTTCGCAGCCTCTACAGTGCCAGTTCGATCCCCGCCAGCCTCGGAACAACCCACATGGCGAGCAGACCTCTTCTGTCTCGCCCGCTAATCCCCTCAGCAGTGTATTTTGTCAGTCTGCCTGTTCTGCTCCCCACTCTGTCTGTCTCTGGCGAATCCTCTCACCCTCCCGCACGTCTGGCCTGTAACCTGGTTCTTGTATAAATAAAATCTTAAGGAAAAAAAAAAAAAGACATGAAACACAATTTAAAAAAAAAAAAAGGATGTGGCAGATACAATTAAAGGTTATTAGCTGACTTTAAAATAGGGAGATTTTCCTGGGTGGGCCCCATGTAATCACAAGAGCCATGAAAAAGCTAAATCACCATTGGTTTCCCTGTGAATTTAGAATGAACTTCAAATTCCTTCCCTTGGTTTACAAGTCACTGCATTATCTACATCCTATTCTGCTCCAGCCTTCCAGCTTCTTGTGCCTTTGCACTTGCCTTTTCTTCAGTCTCCAGAACTCAAATGATTGCTCTTTGGTATCACTCAGATCTTGGAATATCATATCTTCAAAAAGATCTTTCATGATCACCTTATCAGCACTGTTATAATCCTGAAACTATCACATCATGTTTTTAATCATCAAATCATTTAAGATCTCAAAAACTGTCTATTTAATTTTATGTCCTCCTTATCAGTTTCCCAAAATGAAACTTAAATTCCATGAGAAAAGGAACCTAGATTCTTGTGCAATGCTGTTTCCTCTACAATTAGAACCTAACCTAATGTGCAGTAAGAATTGTGTACATATTAATGAAAAATGAAGATGATATAAAGACATGAATTTATAATGTAGCTGGGGACCTAATATATTTACAACATAACTTTTAATACACAGCAACATATGTATCAAAAGATGGAAGATGAGATCATTTCCTGCTAGGTAATGATGAAAGATTCAAAATAAAAGGAGCATCAGAACTAGCCATGAAACATTTAAAGCACAAGGGGTTAAGACGCAACCTGTGGGGCTGTCCGCAGCCACTGCAGAAAAGTTCCAGGATACCCACATGAAGCAGTAGACCTCTCCTGGCCCACCAGCTGCTCCCCTCAGCAGGTATTTCAGTAGATCTACCTGTTCTGTTCCTCAGTCTGTCTCTGGTGACTCCCTCACCCCAGACCTCTGGCCTGTACTCCAGTTCTTGTATGCATAAATAAAGAAATCTAAAAAAAAAAAAAAAAAAAAGGGAATTTTTCAGGTGAAAGAATTCAACCTTGTCTGTTAGGTTAAAAAATTTAGGCGTCATCGTGTAGATAATGAAAAACACAGGTGCTTCAAATAAGGAAATATGCAGTTAGAGCAAGATCCACGAAAATCAATAGGACTAGTTTGCATTTCCTATTCAAGAAAAGAAATAATCAGAAATCATGCCTACTACCACTAGTTAAAGTTCAAATTGATGGTCAAAAGCTGTTCAACTAGAAAATATGACAGGTAAAAACACTAAGGTTTTATTTTATTTGATGTTATATTGGCAATTTTGACAACGCAGCTATAGTATTAATAAAACATAAATCCAAAACTACCTTTTGCAAACATTTTACCTAATCAATACTTAAATATTTGCATATAAATAGGGAAAAAGTTTTCCTAAATTCCTAACATGCCCTAATCTTATAAAATTTCAGTTTTAGGACATCCAATGTTATCCTACTTTCAAAAAAATAAATAAGATTTTTTTTTTATCTTTTAAGAACTAAATGTTGAAAAGAAGATTTTTATGCTAGCCTGTTTTTTTAAAAGTATGTCTTATTTAATGTTTTATACTTTGGTATTTACTGAAAACCTAAAACAGCTAAAAGACTGGTCCCAAAGGTATAATTTTACAAGCTTATAAACTCTATTAATACAGGTAACACTTTTTTTTTTAAAAAAAGATTTATTTATTTATTTTATACAAGAACCGGGGTACAGGCCAGATGTACAGGAGGGTGAGAGGATTCACCAGAGACAGAGCGGGGAACAGAACAGGCAGACTGACGAAATGCACTGCTGAGGGGCACAGTGGGCAGGGCAGAAGAGGTCTGCTTTGCCATGTGGGACCCTCGCCAGCTGGACGGGATCAAACTGGCACTGCAGAGGCTGCCGACAGCTTCACAGCATTGCGCTCAACCCACTGCGCCACCGGGGAAGCCCCATACAGGTAACACTTGTGACTTATGGTCACCAAAACAGTACCAAATGTTTATAGTATCATGGTGAATTCAGGGAAGAGGCATACAGAGATGAGTTTATTTTTTAAAGTTTTTCTCCCAGGAAAACATGATTAAAAGTTACCATCACTTTAATCTTTAAAATATCATAAAAACATCATAAATTATTTAACAAAGCACTTATCAATTCACAACACACAAATTTAGCATTGAAATACATGAGAATTAGTAAAGAAAACCTCCAAATAAAAACAAAATTTGGAATACATTAAAGAATATACAATCTAATAATGGCATTTACACTTTGTTACACCTTTAAACCAAATGCCAATATCCCCAAATTCCTAATTTGGATGATGCACATGGTATTGCCTAATTTTATCCCATTTTCTTCCATTTTGATTATCTTCCCTATGTCTTTTTTTAAAGATTTATTTATTTATGCATACAAGAACTGGGGTACAGACCAGAGATGTGGGCATTGAGAGGATTCACCAGAGACAGGTGGGGAACAGAACAGGCAGCCTGACTGAAATACACTGCTGAGGGAAGCAGCAGGTGAGACAGGAGAGGTCTGCTGAGCCATGTGGGTTAGCTAGCTCCCTGGCCGGGGATCAAACTCATGCTTGTAGTGGCTGCAGATAGCCTCATAGTACTGCTTCTTACCCCCTGCACTACTAGGGAGGGCCCCCCCCCTTTGTCTTTTTTTACTGCTGAATTTTAAATATAAAGCAAAAACAGACTATAACTTAAATTTATTAAATAGGAAAAAAAAACAACCCTACTAGCATCAACCAAATCAGAAAACATTAGGTGACTTGGATTATCCAAATAGCACCTAAATACATATTCATTTTAAGAATTAGAAGGAGTCACCAAGTAAAAGATTTCGAAGTGAAAACTCAGTATTATGTTCTAAAAGGGGAGAGAGAAAACCAAGACAAATTGAAACCCCCTCTTTCAATACAGATTACTGGTTTTTAAAACTGAAATTTCCTTCATACCTCTCTACCTTCACCCATGACTACGCAACTATACCACCTATAATCCAACCACCTGGAGTCCTGTGTACTCACCACCAACTCATTGAACTCACTAGTTTGTCTCCTACAAGACTCTAGTCCCCACTTTTTCATCTAACTAATGCTGACTCATTTTAGATGGCAATTCCCTAAAGATTCCTCTCTTTTTGACAGTTAGATCCTCTCTCCCCCTATGTTTCCAGCTAAAGCTTACCAACTATCTCACTTACACAAACTTGGAATTGCTTATTTACTTACCTTTCTTACTAAGCTTCTGAAGACAAGACTCCTGTCATCATTGTATTCTCAACTAATAATCTACATAGTCCACCAGTTATAAATTATAAATGAATTATAATATGAATGAATTACTTCTCATGTCAAAATCCAATTCTGTGAAAATGTCTCTATTCCAAAAGTACTTAAATTTACTATCAACTCAGAGCTATTCCCCCACTAACTACACAAACAGTGTTCCAGATAGCTAGTAGAGCTTAAGTTTTTGTTCAGTGAATGAAGAGAGTATTCCTTGAAAAGCACCAATGAGAAAAGCAGCAGTACAGGACAGACTGCTCATTTCTTATTTATTTCTTCATCTTAACTAATAATAATACACCACAAGGCTCTAAAAACAGTTTGTGTTTTCTACAGGATTAGGGATAGGGAGCAAAATTAAAATACTAAATGTTTCCCAGGCAGCCTCTTATCCCAACTTCCTAAACATCTTTTCATCCAATTTTATTCTCATCTCTAACAATTACTCCCTTTACTCCCATGAAACTGGAGCCCTACCAGGTGCCTAGATGCAAGAATATTTATTACCTGAAAAAAGAATTGGGGGAAGGGGTAGTATGAAGGAAATGTTTTAATCCAGGGTAATATTTTTTATACTTTGGATATTAAATACCAACTATCAAGGTATGATATATGATTTGCAAATAGAAGAGATGAAATATTGCTGATGGAAAAATTGAATGCATTTCCCTCTAGGACCAGTGTTACTCAATACTATACATGGTAGTTATAGGACTTAACATTACTTATGGATTAAAGGACCAGTGGGCAGGGCTGGGGACTAATCATTACTGTCAATACTAGGACCATATCAAATGTTTGGATTTTTGTACTGGATATTCCTCTGAGAGTTCCCCTTCCTGCAAAAGGAAATGTGATGTACTGTTTAACATATTTAATATAACAGCATTGAAATTTATGTAAGTAAAATAATCACAGTATACGATATATTGTTGTACTAAAAATACAACAGGACTAATATGTCAACTAATCTAACTTCAAGCTCTTCAATTAACATTCTCTTCACCTATTTATCTTAGCTGAAATCTAATGACACCACTTTCTTTGCAACTTTCCAAGGAGAGATTTTTCGCTTCTCACATCTCCTGTACTTTAGACCAGGAGATTGGAATGCTGAAGGAGAAGGTTAAGAATGCACTCCTTCCACTCAATAACCATTTCCAAAACATTTTTCCAATTTTTTTTTTTTTTAAACACTCAAGCTTTTTCAATAGACTTTTCAACTAGGCAACTACTGGTGCCACCAGCACTCTTCTCCATTTATTTTTAATTGAAACATAAGTGATATATTCCATTTTAGCGTTAGGTATACAAATAATAATTCAATTTTGTTTACATTGTGAAAAGATTATAACACTAAGACTATTTACCATCTTTTCCTAGCAACTCTCAAATATGCAATGTCATATTATTAATTATAGTCCTCATGCTACACATTACATCTCCTTGACTTATTTTGTAACTGGAGTTTGTACTTCATGCTTCCCGTCATCCATTTCACTATCCCCTTGCTCCCATGATTTTAGTTTACTTTGTATTTTAGACTCCATACATAAGTGACATGTGTATGTTTAACTTATTTCATTTAGTATAATACCCTCAATGTCTATTCATGTTTCCATAGTGTATGTACCAATATACATTCTCCCCATTAATGCAGCTTTCTATTCTCCACATTCTCACCAATGCATATCATTTGTTATCTTTTTGATCATAGACATTCTGACAGATATGAAGTGATATTTCATTGTCACTTTGATATGCCCTGATGATACCAAGATCATTTTTTCATGTTTGTGGCCATCGGTATGTTTTATTTGGAAAAATCTCTATTCAGTCTCTGCTCTTTTTTAAATTTGTTTTTTTCTTTTTTCCTCTTTTTTTTGGCTGTAAAGTTGTGTGTGGTTTTTTTTTTATATATGTTTGTATAATTTGAATATTAAATACCAAGTACCAGGAAAGGCATCATGCTATTAAGTTGTGTGGGGTTTTTAAAAATATTTTTTATACTTTGGATATTAAATACCAAGTATCAATAAAGGTATGATATATGATTTGCAAATATCTTCTCCCTTTCAGTAAGCTGCTTTTGCTTTTTGTTAATGGTGTTCTTCACTGTGTGGATGCTTTTAGTCTGATGTAATTCCATTTGTTTATTTTTGCTTTTGTTGTCCTTGCCTTTCAGGGCAAATCCAGAAAAATACTGCTAATATCAATGTCAAGGCGCTTACCACCAGTATTTTCTTCTAAGAATTTATGGCTTTAGGTCTTATGCTCAAGTCTTTAATCCATTTTGATTTAACCTGTGCATATAGTCATAAGATAGTGGTCCAGTTTCATTCTTTTACATGTGATTTGCTATACTCTTCTTCATTCTTACCCCAGTCATCTCTTTCAGTAAGTTCAAAGTCTATTTGGATAATTCATCTAATAGGCTGGTTTCTCAATTTCCTAGCTGGTTCACCTCTAAATCTCTACTCCTTTATGATCACATTCAGGGCCCTGTCATCAATAATTCAACCAACTCCAAAATCTTTATTATTATTATTATTAAAAATCTATTGTATTTACTTATACGTACAAGAGCTGGGGTGTAGGTCAGAGGTGCAGGGGGTGACAGGATTCACCAGAAGTACAGCAGGGAGCAGAACAGGTGGACATACTGAAATACAC